ATTCTATTCTATTTCTATGCTCTTATTCTATCCTATTCTAATTTGGTGCATTGTTATAAGATTATACGCAATTCCTTTGAAAATCATAATACAAATTGTGTTGTGAATCTCATAACAATGCCTTCAAGATGTGAATTATACATTTACACTGGGTTTATGATCACATTTACACTGCAGATGAGACAGCGTATATCAAAGTAAATGTGGACTTGTAAACATAATAGGGTTAGCAACAGTAATTGCACAAGTGTGATGCAAAACCTTATATTTCTTAGAAAAGACACTTATGGTTGCTACCCAGTATCTGTTCTTTAGTTATATATCCACAAGTGGAAGTATTGGAGCAATTGCTGGAAATGAGAGAAGTTCTCTGCCTTGTTCTCTTGGTGAACAGTTATTGAGCATAAAAGAATTACAGTAACATTTAGTGGATATTTAGCATTATGTCTTTTGTTAGTAAAAATTTAAAAACCTAATGTACATGGTTGTTCCTCATGTTGAATGATATTGAATGATAGTTCTTTGGATACCTAAGAGGAAAACTGTTGCTCAGCTGAATGGGTTAGAAAATTTCTGCACAGTGAAAATCAATAAATCACAGGATATAATACTATACAGACCCTTTCTACAAAAAAATAATAATCTAAACTAACTATATATTTTCCACAATATGAAAACAGGCTATGGTCTATATATGAAATGCCATCCTTCTTTCCAGTTTCTAGAGACCACTGGAATTGTATTGCTGGAACGTGGTGACAAATCAACATGAGGAGATATCCCCACTTTTCCAGCCAGAATCAAGAAAATTGACAAAGAAGCAAACTCCCAAACACAAATTAAAATTCGACCCCATTCAGTAGTACGATAGTGATGATATCTTAATGCAACAAAATTACCTATGTTCTGTAACTGGAAAAATGGAAATCTATACATTACATACATAAATGTTTTCTTAAGTTTTTGCGGGTATTTATATGTATGGTATTCATACATATAAATACATATACATATTTGTATATCTAGATTATATAATGCTGAGATTTCACCACACCAAGAGTGCAGTGAAAGACTTACTATAGTTTACAAAAGTTCTAACGCATCTCTTTGAAAATTAAATGTTTTCCAGTATTAGAATTTTTGAATACAATGAAACTTACCATCAAGTCTATCATGTTGCAGTAGAAGTGGTAACATCTTAACAAGTAGCACTTTATGCTTTTGACACAACATAGCAAGTGATAGAAATGTAACGGATTTGGTCTTATGAGTTTCCAAAAGAGTTTTGTGCCTCTGTATAGACACAATAGACTAGGTAATGTATTTACCAGGCTATACTGGGTGGAAACCAGAGGAACTACAGTTCAGCATAGATGCCTGGCAGCAGGTTGGCAAAGGCTAATGTCAAGCTAAGGCTAAAATTGTCAATGCAATTAATCCAAAACATTGGATAATGTTTAATAACAACCATTTTAGAGACAACAAGATGTAAATTATATTACAAAATGTGTACAGTAATTTGAATCATTTGACATTAGCACTATTTTATGGCATTAGGAACCTCATCACAATCAGGGTCCACCCGCTTTATGATTCAACTTCCAGCTGGTTTTCTCCTCTCAGCATATACTTTTGCATCTTCTGCAAACTAAGAAGAAAATAAGGACATCTCTCCATCTAAAAATCTAGCTTCAAATTCTTAAGATTCTTTTATTCCAAATTTCCTCTGAATTGCTGATCTTCAGCTTCCTTTAGCTTCTTCAAGGTTGTATTTTCTTTTGGGGCAACTGGAAATTGGACCAGAACTGTAAATCTGGGAATGTAATGTATCATGCGATCAATTGTGGAGACCTTACCCTCTGCTTGAGTTCCTTATTCATAGAAGGAATAGCCTAAAATATCCCCAACCAACTATTATAAACCAACTAAGAGAAACATGTGTTCCTCAGAAAGGAACATAACTGTCTCCAGATCAAGGGAAAAGTTGAAAGGGTTTGGTTAAAGACTAGCCACCTCCCTACTCTCCAAGTCATCTCCTGCACTGCAAAGTCTCTAGACTCCAAAAGAAATCTGACAATATGCTAATCTGGTAATAAAAGTGACTTCTGATGTTATCCGTTCAGCTGACAGTGAAGTACAGAGACGGTTGTCTAACCAGATAAAATGATAGAGAAAATATGCTTTCAAACTAGGGTATAAATCTCGGATGGCCCAGATGAACTATTAAAATGGAATAGTTATAGTAGCCATACTATGCACTAGCCTCATTTTACCTCCATCTTTTCCTTTCACAGATGCATGAACGAGGATGTACCCTGTCAAGCTAATAACATAGAGTTAAGAGGGTGGCGATATCTCTTATACCCAGATCAGAGTTTCCATCACAAGGGAGGGGGCAGAAAAGAAAATAATGGCTAGTATGAATCTCGGAGCATACTGTACAGGCACCAAAGTTTGCATATTGCACTTGGTGCCTGAAGATCATAAATCTATGCATGAGAAAGATGTAGTGGAAATTTTTTTGGGGGGAGGATTAGAGTTTATTTTTGTCATCTCTGTGAGACAGCTACTCATTCATCCAGATCACAGCTAAGAAAAAAAGCTGGTCACAGAAATTAGCAGTTTCAGCTCAGCAGCAAAGTCGCCAGCCTGTGAAGGCAGAGAGAAATTGACTAATTAGCAATGCGCACTAAAACTTGACGGTTCTTTATAGAGAGAGAGAGGAGAGAGAGGAGCGAGAGGCAGAGGAAGGGAGGGGGGGTCGCCTTCTCCCCTTCTTTCTTCCAAAGATGTTTGAAATCGCAGTCATTTACGCTCGACAATTTTTACAATAGCCTTGAGCCATAATTTTGCGAGTCTCTCCAGCATCCATCCCCCTGTATGGTCTCTCTCCACTGGCCATGCACGACCGTTTCTCTCCCCAACCGTGGATTTCCTATTACTCTCGTTACGACTCACTGAGCCCCAGGCCCAAGGATAATGATGTGTTGTTTCTTGGTAGCATAATTTGTCACACGTACATTTTTTCTTCTTCTTCTCTTGCAGAAAGCTCTGCGCGCTCTCTCTTTCTCTCTCCCCTTCTCCCTCTCGTACATTTTCTTGCTGTTGCTAATTCATGGTGATCAAATGATGTACGACAAAATAAATTGTAAAGAGTGACTGCTTGGAATTGGGAACGAGAAGGTTTTTTTTGTTTTTGTTTTGAAGGAGCGATCAAACCTTTAAAAAGGAAGGACAATTGATTTTTTGGGGGGGAAGCTTAAGTGAACCTTTACTTTGGCAGCTGGTTTGTGAAGCAGGTAAGTTTCTGGCCTTCGGTCTAACCGTCTTGGCTGTATTTTCTTGTGGCTTGTTTATTGTCGTGAAGACGGTGTATGCCTGTGTGTGTGTGTGTATGCGCGCGATTTTTGTGGACGAGAAGTACGGAGGGGGACTTGTATTGCACACACGTCTTTGGAGAATAAACTCGAATTGTAAGAAATGGCCAGAGGAGGGGAAAAGAAAAAGGGGGAGGGAGAATGGGAGGTGTGTATATGTGGATGGAGGAGAGGAATGACCAGATCCACTTAAAGGGAGAGGCTCTTGGAGGTTTCTTAAAACCTGACTGCTGGGAGGGCAGGAAAGTGGCCGGCGAAAGGGACTCCTCCGGTCGCAGGAGAAAGCGGGGAGTGCAAGCAGTGCCGAAAAAAGGGGGACGGCACAATGGAAGTAGCTGGAATCCTGCAGAGGAGAGGCGGCGGCGGCGGCACCGGCACTTGCCGTGCTGTGGCGGGCTCTGCTGTCCCCGAGGCGGGCTAAAGGCACCGCGGGTCTCTTTCCTCTTCACCGCTAGCAGGTGCAACTGGCAGCAGGTCTTTTAAGGCTCGTCTTTTTCCTTCCCCGCCGCCTCCGCCCTCTCAAGAGTCCCGCGACTTTGGCAGGGACGCTTTCTCGCGGCGCAGGGACGCTTTTTCCCGCCTGTATTTTCCTCCTCCTTTTTCCCAGTCGCTCCCAGGCCCTCCGAGTTCGCTCCCCTCCCCTCCCCGCCCCTGAAGTTCCCAGAGTTGCCCGAGTTAAAGCGCCGCCGCTTCTCACCCCCCCGAAGAAAAACCCATCCCGGACAACACGAGCAGCGGGCGCAGAGGCGACTGGCCTGCCTCTCCGCCCCTATGCCCAGTGTTCAAATGCAGCAGGCGCCCGAAGCTCTGGCCAAGAGTTCGGTGCACGCGGCTGCGCTCCCCCTCGCTCGGCACCGAGAGCCTTTCCCCTCCCTCCTTTCACGTACTGCCTGCTTCAAGGCGAAGCGTCTCTCGCTCTGCAGAAACAGTGGCTTTTGCAAAGGCGGGAAAGGCGCAGTTGGGGGGGGGGGAGGAAGGGGAGGGGCATCCGAAGGGGGGCAGCTCAGTCTGCTTGGCTCAAGGGATGGCCTGGCTCTGGACTTGGGAAGGACGGGCTGGCTTCTCTTTCCTTTCCGTGGGGTCATCGGGGAGTCGTTCTGCGAGCTTTCCCCAGCTAACGGAACAACAACCCCAAACTCTTCTTGTGTCTCTATTCCCTCCCCCCCACACACACACACACAAACCTTCCGCCTTTCCCTCGCCTCCCCCTCCCCCCCGCATGGGAAATGCCCCGTTGCAAATTAGACAGCAACCTGCTCGCAAGTGGCGCGCGCGTCTCGGTTTCTAAGCGGAAAGAAAGTAGTTGCCCGCATCCCCCACCCACTTTGGGGAGGGAACCCGCCTCGCCTGCCGATGAAGGACGAAGCCCCTTGGCGGGGGGGTGCAGAAAATGCCATGCAGCCCGAAGGCTGCCGCGATGGGGGGAAGGGGACGGCTGGCTAGGAAACCTCTCGGCTCTTGCAAGTCGGGTGGGCAAGCCAGGCCTGCAAAGCTCCCTGTGTATGACTACTCTGTGTGCCCCCTCCCAACCACTCATTCTTCCTTATTCCCCCACCCCCGCCTTGCCCCTCTTTGCCCAGGTCGGAGGTGGGTTTCCAGTCAGGTGCGCTGAGGCTGCTCGCCATGTCACGGTCCGGGGACAGGACGTCTACCTTCGACCCCAGCCATAGCGACAACCTGCTTCACGGCCTCAACCTGCTGTGGAGGAAGCAGCTCTTTTGCGACGTGACCCTGACGGCCCAAGGCCAGCAGTTCCATTGCCACAAGGCCGTGCTGGCCTCCTGCTCCCAATACTTCCGATCGCTCTTCTCCAGCACCGCGGCTGGAGGAGGCGGGGGAGGCGGCGGCGGCGGCGGGGGGAGCGGGCTTAATCACCCCTTGGGCGTTGGACCGGGAGCTCAGGACGGCCTGCTTCCGAAGGAGCAGCAGCAGCAGCAGGAGGAGCCCGGCACGCCCTCCTCCTCTCCGGAGGACAAGCTCTTGGCCAGCCCTAGGGCCATCAACAACCTGGTGTTGCAAGGCTGCTCGTCGATCGGACTGCGACTGGTGCTCGAGTACCTGTATACCGCCAACGTGACCCTCTCCTTGGATACGGTGGAGGAGGTCCTGTCGGTCAGCAAGATCCTGCACATCCCGCAGGTCACCAAGTTGTGCGTGCAGTTCCTCAACGACCAGATTTCCGTCCAGAATTACAAGCAAGTGTGCAAGATCGCAGCCTTACACGGCCTCGAAGAGACCAAGAAACTGGCCAACAAGTACCTTGTGGAGGACGTGCTGCTGCTCAACTTCGAGGAGATGCGCGCCCTGCTAGACTCATTGCCTCCCCCGGTAGAATCGGAGCTGGCGCTCTTCCAGATGTCCGTCCTGTGGCTGGAGCACGATCGGGAGACCCGCATGCAGTACGCCCCGGACCTCATGAAGCGCCTACGTTTTGCCCTTATCCCGGCTCCGGAGCTTGTTGAGCGAGTCCAGTCGGTGGATTTCATGCGTACGGACCCGGTCTGCCAGAAGCTACTTCTGGATGCCATGAACTACCACCTGATGCCTTTCAGGCAGCACTGCAGACAAAGTCTGGCCAGCAGGTAAAAGAAAGGGGGGGAGGTGGTGGAATTCAGCAGAAATCTAGTACTTCACAGGGCATTAACTAAGTGTATATGAAACAAAGTTCAAAAGTTGACATCAGCTGAAGCAGCTAAGGGGGTGCCTGAGAGGGATTTGCTGAGTAGAGTTTAAGGGCGGGGTGAATGTACTTCCCATAGGTATTGTAGGAAAATAGAAAACAGCCGAAAATCTATTCTGGCAAAAAAAACCAAAAAACAGGTATATAACTTAGGTGGCAAAAAGGAACATCAGGGGCCAATTCATCGCCTTTGAAAATTGTAATTTATTATTTGGTGAGTCTGATTGTTGAAAGTTTGCAGGATTGGTCAGAATCTATTTCTGACAATACTGATTGTCAAAATGATCAAGGACTGTTGATCAAGGACCGTTATCTTAACGCAATGCTTTTAGAAAAAAGTTTCTGAAGAACAATCAAAATGATTACCAATGCGTTTCCCCCTCCCTTTTACTGGAAGAGATACTGTTTGGGTATTTGAAGAAAGAAAGTTATGGAGTCCTCCTCCTTCTAATTATAGGGCTTATTAATTTGGGGACAGGAGAATGAACTATTGGAGAAGATGTATAAAAAGAAGAGCCTGTTGAGAGCAAAGAGAGTATAAGTGAGGACACTCCTAGATAACATATTGTACTGTTCTTCGGGTTCTGTACTGTTAGATGGATTTAAAATGCCTTGTCCATCCAACTAATTTTAGAGGAGCCTGTGTGCAATACAGCAAGTAAGATTGGTAACAGGGGAAAGTGAAATGTGCTGGATAATTCAGCAGACATCTCTTAAAATACAATATGGGAAGAAAGGCAAGCAGCCATGCCTTGGTACCATTAGTTTTAAAACCCATTAGGAGCTCCCTGGGTCCTCTGGGCCTTTTCTGCTTAGAATTAAGTGTTTTGCTGGTTTGTTATCTGTGATCACAAAAATAACATACGCAGTGATGCCACATTAAATGTAAATATTATATTTAGTTATCAGAACATGCAATTAATTATGGTCTCTTACCTTTTTTCCAGTTTAACATTTTAAATTTTAAAAAGCAATTCAGAAATGGAGTAGATTTTAATGGTCGGAGTTTATATCTTACAATCAGATTATGTATATATTAATACTAGACATGTTGTATTGAAAAAATTGAGTATCATGTCTATGACATCACAAGCATTTCCCTTTAAGGGAATAAAGCTGTGAATATGATATCAGAGTGGAAAGTGGCTCATACAAAATTTTAAATGGATAATTTAGGAAATAAATGTACAACATAAACAGAACACACACATATAAATTATGTTTTATATTAAGTAAACAAACTGAAAGTTTGCATATATCAAAACTTTTACATTTTTCTACACAAAGCTATACTTTCCGACCTAATGTATCAGAAAATAAATCGGATTTGTAGTATTTTGAAGTGTATTTTGTTGCTTTGCGTAGAAGAACTTATACAAAGTTTGTATGGCATTCAGTAAGTGATACCTGAAGAATTTCTCATGTTCCTTTCTTGAAGGCTTTTTAAAAATACCCAACTGCATTATGAACTATTAAGTATCTTGGGGGGTCAGCACTGTTACATTATCTCCGAGATGAAATAGCTTTCCCATATGGTGGAAGATTGTGGTGCTTTCCTTAGTTTGAATTCTGTGCACCACTTGTGACACGATGGGTCTTTCCTTGAGGTGGATTTGGTTCAGTGCAAATACCTTCCAGCTTCATTGGTCCATATCATTTGAAGGATGTGACTTTGGAATGTTTACAAGTGTCAAAAATAGTGATAGTGGCCTTCCTTTGCTGTCATCTTATTTAATCCTGGGTGGAACCTACTATCCAGTTTTCTGGACAGTAGCCCCATTAAATTCAGTGAGGTTTGTTTTCAAGAAAACACACGTAGGTTTGCATTGTATTACCTTTTATATCTAAAAACATACTCAGATTTGGATATAGAACAATGTTGGACATATTTAGAATATTAAATGAAAGAAATTACTCTCATATGAAAAACAATGTTATCTGATTAACTCTGTTTTTCTGATCTTATCTTAATGGTAATATTATTCAGCTTTATCACTTAGATTGCTAATAGGCCTAACCACACTATTGTGCTGAATTATCACACATATATAAAAAGAATAAAGATCAGATCAAGTACCTTAAGAAACGAAAAAGTACATATACACTAAAAGTGTAAGTGTAAGATTTATGCCATATGATTTTGTAAAAGCTGTGATTGAACAACCAAGACCCATTTTAGATACTCAATGAAAAACTGGGACATAAATATTTAAAAATAAAATGCTCTTAATATGTAGCATTAAACAGAAGAAATATTTTAGAAGATATGCAAATATCAGATATAAGGTTTTAATTTTTTTAAGGAAGTTATGAAAGTAAAATAAATTAAGATAAATGAACTCAGTGAATGGTTTTTAGGTACCTTTATTGATTTCTGGAGGAAATAATGACATTGTAAATTATCATGACAAAAAATGCAAGCATTGGGAAGTAATACACAAATCTGATGCTTTCCCACCTTCTGATAGTTTTGGGTACTGAGAGATAAACAATGGAATGCCATAAGTAACTTCTTGCTGTTCAAGAGTGAAGAAACAGAATTAATACATCTACTCTTAAATTAACATTTAATAAAAACCCTTATTTCCTTTAATAAGGCTGTCTCAGGCCTTCAACATATTTAGTAATCATATTCCTTATTTGCTTAAAATAATACCATTGTTCCCCAAACCCTACTTATGTAGTACAGTACATAGTACATAGTTGCTTTGGGATTTGTAGTAATTATCTATTTTAAACTGTTATAAAAGAAAGCAAAACTAAATAGCAAAAATGTAAAAACACCTGTAGTACAATGCTGATATTTTTGATAATGATCTTTATTAAACTGACATTTAATTTGAAGCATGGGGCCATCATTAAAATTTCTTTCATTTCAAAATTATTAAGATTATAGTTCTGAGTTTCAGACTTAGAATAAAATAACTTCTTTGACACTACATTAATATGTATGTGTGTTCTACAACCTATTTAACAGCAAAACAAAATGAAATTAAACCTCTACATTTTGAATAAGGTGAAATTGAAAAAATCTAGCTCAGGTTTTAATCCCTGAAATTAACAGGAATTCATTCTAAAAATACTTAAGGAAATTGCAACTCTGTAAAGTACTAGGTGTTCTGTATTCGGTTGGTAAAGAGTTAACTTTTAATTATATGTACATTTCATTCTCATTATTTAAAAGTTTGAAATTAGAATTTTTTAAAAAAATGATGTTTTTGTATGCTTACATTCAAATGCTGTAATTATAGTTGTAGGCTGGGTGGACCAGTTCCAATAATGGAAAGCTGGAATGTGTCTTTGCCCTTCACTGTCTGTATTCAAACTCTTAAGACCATCCTGGAAAATACTGCTCTGGATGTTTTCTGTTGAAGATCTTGAGCTTTCAATTATTCTCCCCAGGGTGGCATGTCTAGTGCCTGTAACCTTTTTAACTTAAAGTTTTGTGTTCCTTTTAATTCTAGCGTGTTCATGTTTTGTACTTGATTTTACCTTACATTTTTTAAAGCTAATATTATCACCAGTTTAGTTTGATTCTAACTAATCATTTAAATGCTAATGTTTTAAGGCTTATACGTGTGTTTTATAAAGCTATTTTTGTTTTTGTTTGGAGTCATTCTATGCTATTTTCAATATGGCTTTTTAAATTATTTACATATACTATTTTAGGAACATTTCTAACCATAAACTGGAGAATGAATTCAGTTGAAATTAGTATGGTACAAATAGAACCTATCACAAGATAAGTACTGTGATGCATGTCTGATTTACCCTTTGTTCTTGATTCAGTAAGTGCTAACAGCCTTGCTTCTGCACACTGATCTTGCTGGTTGAAGTGAAAATCTGATTTTATGGTTGCAATTTTGAAAATGGCAGTTTTATAAGTTTTCCTTTAGCCAGAAAGAACTTGTTTGAGAAAAGGGGTTCTGAAGAAATGCCTTGCTATGTTAGAACTATGTGAAGGATTGCTTAAATTGTGTTTTGTTGAATGCCCACCCTGCCCCTTCAAAAAGATTTATTTAGGATAAATTGCTCTAGGAACTACAGACAGCAGACAAATGATGTCACTGTATGATTGACATCATTATGACTTCTGCTGAACACCTATGTTCAGAAAATATGAAAAAGCATAACTACATTTTTATCCCTTTAGTGGGAGTTGGGAACTAGTCAATCCATTCAGCTTCAGGCTGCTTTCATTTACTGACACAATAAACATAGCACACTTGTGCAGAGTGGACTTTAAAGCAAATTTTTTCATGGTCAGTTTATTGCAAGCAGCATACCCTCATTTGTAAGTATTAAGTTAAGCTCACTATGTAAATAGAAGCATTTTTAGATCTTTAGAATCCAAACAGTATCTCTTCTTACTGAATATGCAATAGCCTGTATTAACTGTGCCAAAAAAAATTGATTTGAATATAGATCTGTTTTCTATGAAGAAATTCTAAGACAAATACCTGCATTTTGAGAATATGTTACAACTTTGCCCAAAGAGATTATACACTATAATTTTTCTTAGAAACTTCTTACTTGGGGTCTTTACCTGCCAAGTTATCATAGTCATCGTGATCTCAATCCTGCTTCAGTGACAATCTTCTTCAATCCATTTTCATTGCATTATACATTTGCTGCCAACCAATCTGGAGTATGAGAACATAGTATAATATCATCTATTCTATTCTATTCTATTCTATTCTATTCTATTCTATTCTATCTACAGTTAATATAATCTTAATGATTAATTTTGGCCATGTCCTATTATTTCCCTAGCATACAATTATGGATATTGTTATATTTATTACTAGTTAAAGAATATATGTATTCACTTATTTATTAAAATTATTACATTTATCTGTCACACATAGTGTATATATTCCATTCTTCTGCCAGAAGGATTGG